TAAACACACATGTAATCAATAAATACATAAGGAGCAGCTACAAAAGAACATGTCTATTTTAAGATTACCAAACAGATTAAGGCTAGAATGAGTACAAACAGCAGAATGATGCTAAAAAATATGTAGTAAATAAATCTTTACAAATAAATTAGAAGATAATTCTATTCCTAAATAAAATTTTATCCCCAAATAATCAATACAATCGTATCTAATTCAAAGCAAAACAACTGCTTAAGACACAGAATGTGACTAACACTTAACAATGACTTTGTGTAAAAGAACAAGTAATGAAGATTTTTATTTTATATCTGAACAACAATTAACTGATTAATATTATATAGTAAAATGACACTTCACAGGGAAGCAATGATATACTGATAAGAGTAAATCACACAGAAAATTTTTAAGTATTTAATATTAGATTTTCTTGAGGGGAAAAAATAATTGCAACTCCAAATTACACAAATCATTTAGAGGGTAAAAAATACATATTATTTACATATTTACCTGCACAGCAAGAGAAGATGCATTGTCAGAAAGCAAAATTTGCTCCCCTGTGGAAATACAAGGAAAGACCTCATTCAAAATTAGCTGCTAAACAAGCAAAGAATACTTATATAATATTCTTATTTTTAAGAACTATTCCTATTTTAAGAAGAAAAGGTATAGTCTACATTGAAGTGAACATGAAATTCTATATCAATGTTGTGTAATCAAAATTTTGACTGTTATACTGTATAAAAAAAATAAAATAGGACTATTTCCTCTGAAACTATATGATCATTTATCTCATTTTATCAGCAATATGTAATTAAAATAGCTCCTTTAAGAATAAATTCATTTCTAAGTATTCAAGAAATATCCCCCTTCTTTTCATTAAAATTAAATAAAATAGTATCTATTCAAATCTTTCTAGTTAAAAGTAAAAGCATTCACAATCATATAAAACCAGCTTGCAGTTAATATTGCACAGTGTGTCTAGGTCTGTCACACAAAAGAAAGATGACAAGTTCGCTGCAATAAAAATTCCATGCTTAGAAGACTAGGGCTGCTGCCTATTAGTCTTCATTACTTTGCAGTCTTCTGACAACTGTAGCAGGCTGCTGAGCCCCAAATGGGGTCCATAATGTGATCTGATGATATATGAAGAGCTGCTAAAGGGAGCCTGAACCATCCTAGCCTATACATTTTAACAGTTCCTTTTTACTGAGAGCCCACTTTACCACAGGACTTCAAAAAACTGCTGTCTCAGCTATTGGTGCAGTAAATCTGCCAACTGCTCCTGCAACCACATCATTTTACATTGCCTACAGCAGCCAATATAATGAGTCAATAATAAACCAAGGACCTTATAGGCCATGAATAGTTGGTTTACACTGGCAGATACAAGTTTAGGTAAAACCTCCTAGACAAATTATACAAGAGAATCCCTCCTTTACGTTTCATGTTCTCTTTGTATTGAATTACATTAGTGAGGATTTTTTTTGTAATAAATATATTTGGATACAAAATCACTCAATTGTGATTAAGAACCTACCTTTCAGTTGCTGATATAATGTAGCATTTTCTGGCCAAGGTTCTGTAGCTGAAGAAACAAAGCAATGATAATTAGATATATAGGGCAAACAAAATATCAATCATCTACCAAATTAGTAAGTATTTTCATTGGCCTATAGCATTAAAGTCAATTACTAAGACTACCTTATAATATGGCACCTAATCATATATCTTAGATTCTATGGTACCTGTCTAAGTAGGCGAGATCCTTTTAAATGCATGCTTACTTATTATTTGGTGATTGTTTGTTTGTTTGTTTGTTTTTATGGGGAGAAACAGACAGACATCATGCCTAATCAAAAAGGAATCTGAAAAATAAATTCCTTTACCTTCCTTTAAACATTTAAATCCAAAATGTTGCTCAAACATATAAAAAGATACTGATGTCTGACTCACTATAAAAAAAAGATAGTGAAACAATATTTATGATAATTTACAAAGTGAATTTTCAAGCAACACTATATGAATCAAATACATCTGTATCAGGTTGTCTATCTCTTCCTTTAAGCTGGTAGATTTAAAAATACAAAGGAAACCTATTTTATCTAGAACATTTCACTGCTTTGACTCTGCCACCACTATCCCACAAAAACAATTAAAGAAGAGTTGTGTGATGAAGCAGGAAGCACCTACAATGTGAAATAAAGCCAATAAAGCTAATTTTAGGCCTGAAGTAAAGCCTGACCTTGACCCTTAGTCTCTCATTTAGAGAAGATTCCAAGATTCCAGCTACAAAGAAAATATCAGTAACCTACTAGTACTGGGGAAAAGCACTAGATTTGAATTTTGTCTCATCAACTGCACTTAAGTGACTCCACTGATAGAATATACAAGATTATTACACAAGAACATCATTTGTTGAAGTCTTCTTTGTAAAAAAAACACAAAATAACAAAACTATCGATTCTTTTTTCTTTTTTAATCACAGATTCTAATACAGTAACTACATTTGCCCTCAGCAAGAAAGTAAATTAAATATATGTAACTTGATAATAATAGGTATCTTTTTATTGTATTTATATTAATCCAATCTGTGACATAGCAACAAATAGTTTTTCATATATAATTATGGCTTTTTAAAAGAAATTTGTACATATAAAGCATTTTTATTGTTCACTAAAGAGGAAGCACAGGACAGAAATTCCTTAATTTGCTTTTATTATGTTTAAGAATAAAAAGAAAAACGGTAGTATTAGTAAATACTAAAAATTTAACTTTTGGCTTGATTTGAGCTATACAAAATTAAGTTCATACTTAACGATAATATCGTGAAATCGTCAAGCAAAAAATGGACCATACATAGTTCTATATGCTGTTACCTACAATATTACAAGTTACTGGACTTCAATACACAAACCAAAGGCAGTGAAACTAAATATTAATTTTACTGTAAACATTTTAACAAAGTAAAATTTCAATAAGAACCCAATTAACCTGTATAGCACAGTTTTTAAAATAAAAGTCACGGAAACAAAAACAAGCTGATATCAGCGAATTACTCAAAAGTAACCTTTTAGGATAAATTGTATGGTCAGCATACCTCTACCATTTACATCTATACTAGAAACAAAACAATGATATTAATTCTTTATAAGTTCCTAAATCATCAAAGATTCAATTATATGCATTATATTAATCTTATTAAATCAATAAAGCATAGAAATTTATAAAAATTTCAAAGAATAAATATTAAAACTAAGTTCCTAGATGCAATACATGTGTCTTATGTATCTGCATAAGGCACAGTATACCTGCTTTGCATACAGTTGGTATTCATTAATTGTGTGGGAAAAGAAAGAAAAGGAATATTTGACTATAGCTATCATTTCATTCCCTAAACATTTTGGCTATTCAAAGTTTTACCCAGTTTAATTTTATCATCTCTGTTAATAGGGTCAACTTTATATACTTTGTATACTCTGGTAATTTTATCTTTTGTTTAGCTATTTTGTGTATATACAGAGAGGGATAAATATTTTCAAAACAATGGAATAAGATAAACTTAGCATCTTAGATATGATAAATAAGAAGCTACCCCACTACTTTGTAACAGAAGCTCTCATATGAACAGCAAAAAAAAAAAAAAAAAAAAAAATCACCACTACCTCTATGAATTCTTCAAATCTAATCCAACAACATATATCAAAGTAATATAAATTTTGCAACATGAATGCAAATAAAACTAAAGAAGCTGCCTACAAATACCAAAATCTATTTTCTAAGAACCTAAAGCTGGAAAATAGGGTAAAGGGGCTAAACATTTTGCTTGATCCAAGATATAAACATGTTTTCACCCATAAATAACTGAAAATAAATTTTCAGAAAGCAACTGTACCAAAAAGTTTGGTGTTTTATTTATAAATGGAAACTATTATTTAAAGAGAGAAGGCAAGTAGATTGACACAAATCTATATAACCATGTTATTTTACTAGTTAGGAATTCTAGAGTATCATGGATCATAGATAATGTTAAAGAACAAAATGGCCAGCTGCCCATCTCACCCATTAAACTCTCAGAATATACAATATCACTGATTTTAGAGCACTGTCTATGTGTACAAGCTTAAATAATTACATTTAAAGCATGACATGGGAAAAGAAATCACTAGTAAGAGTGCCAAAAGTGAAAATCCCTAGTTGGGTGGCCTGGCAATGGATCTACAAATCACCTTATGAAGGTGTCATTCTAGAAAATAAACTCTATAACTGTCTTCAGAAGTATGAATCATAAACATTTTATCCACACAAAACACAAAGCCTACTCTTGGTTTGGATAATACTAATTAAAGCCTTTTATTGTGAGCACCTATCAACAAAAGATAAAGTCTAAAATGACAACTTCTTTCCCCTCCTCTCTTTCCCAAGGTAAAGCAAGTAAATATCCCCACCCCTTGCTCTTGAGCATGTATAAAAGGGAGATTTAAACTTTTTAATCATGGTTCTGACAACAGATATTTAAAATATCTGTAGTATTTTTAAAAAGAAAAGTTGTGGGCTGGGGATGTGGCTCAAGCGGTAGCGCGCTCGCCTGGCATGCGTGCGGCCCGGGTTCGATCCTCAGCACCACATACCAACAAAGATGTTGTGTCCGCCGAGAACTAAAAAAAAAAAAAAGAAAAGTTGTTTTCAAACAATTAAAAAACATTTTCATCTTTTATTAATTTTTCTTCAGTTGACCTAAAATGTTTTAGACTAAAAACTACTTTAGGTCGCAATTTCAAGTTCGGGGGTGGGGAAGGAGGCCTGTGCCCTCTCCTTTGAGTCCAGGCAGAAACAGGTGGCGGAGCTGGCCAGGTGGCAGCTGAGGGAAAGGCGTTCTCATCAGCGAGGTCTCAAGGAAACTGTGACATGTGTTCTGGGTAGGGTTTGAGGTTTTGGAACCTTTTCTAAAAGGGACAGAGAGCACCCTGCTGCATTTCCTAATCATGGGCTGGTGTGTTGGAGTGAGCTGGTCATGATGCAGAAGGTCCTCAAGTGCAGTAGCCTGGCCCTGGCTCTTGCCCTCATCCTGGTTTTGGAATCTCCAGTCCAAGGTTATCCTATGCGGAGAGCCAGGGACCAGTGGGTACGCTGCAGTCCTGACAGTAATTCTGCAAACTGCATCGATGAAAAGGGACCCCTGTTCAACCTTCCTCCAGGAGAATCTAACAGGATCCTCCCTGCAAGGACTGACCCTTTTCCAATGAAAAGATTCCAGAACTTGAATGATGTTTTCCCCCTTTCTGAGGACTATTCTGGATCAGGCTCTGGGTCTGGTTCTGGMTCTGGATCAGGATCTGGAAGCAGCTCTGGAAATGGTTTCCAAAATGAAATGGAACAGGAATACCAACCAGTTGCTGAAAATGATGCTTTCTATTACAACTTCAGGTCTTTCGAGAGCAATCAGCCCTCAGACAACCACAACTTGKGTCAAGAAGKWTTAGAAGAGGATTTCATTATATAAAAATGAGGGTTTCCCCACCTTGATGCCAGRCRATGTATTCAGTGTATTTTGTGTACCATGGTTAAATGATCAGTCTTGGGACAAAGAGTTTTATGGAAATTTTAAAACATCTGATAAAGAACCTTAAACTTTATCACCTTTATTTCTCATGAATTCTTAAAGGATTATGCTTTAATGCTGTTATCGGTCTTATTTTTCTGAAAAATATCTTCTTTTTTGGCACTGGGTATCACACATGARAGGCAACTACTTTACCACTAAGCTACATCCCAGCCTAATACTTGCATTTTTTTGGTTGTCTTGTTCAACCAACATCATTATGAAATGAACTAGACTCCCATTACATGAAGTTACTTTAAAGAAAAATAATTATACTGTTTTTAAAAAAATTCAGTCTGTGAAGCAAATTGATAGGCAATATTTCATACCTCAATCTTCAGGGCACCTGACTCTGATTATGAATTATAGATCTATCCCTTTTATTATGGGAAAAAAAGATGAAACAGTACATTTATAGAGTGGGTATTTGACACAGAGTACAGTGTTAAGGATGGTATTGTACTGTTACTGTTGGGTGTGTTGCAAAGCTAGAGGACATTGTTCAGCTGAAGTGTGATTGTTATGATTAAAAACTTAGGACCCCAGTTAAAGCACAGTTGTGCTTCTCAGTATCGCATCCTGCTTTACCTTTTACCACTGGATATCTTCATTTTCAAATGTTATTCTATTAAAGCAGAAGTATAACCAAAAAAAATAAAAATAAAAACTACTTTAATAGTAAATAAAATTTCATGATTCACCCACCCTATCCATTTTCAACTTCTACTACCAAAAGAACTCCCTGATGTGAAATGCTGTTTCAAACATGCCTTAGGGAAGGCACAGGCTTAGAATAATCACAGAAGATCAGGCTAAGAATTTCTGAAAAAGAGGTTGGTAAGAAGTAGAAGTGGGCTGGGCTGTGGCTCAGCAGTAGAACGCTTGCCTACCAAGCATGAGGCACTGGGTTCAATCCCGGGCACCACATAAAAAAATAAACAAATAAAATAAAGGTACTGCGCCCATCTACAACTGAAAAAATATTTTAAAAAGAAAAGAAATGGAAGTTGGGGGAGAAAGTTGTCCAATACTATCAAGAATCAAGTTATTGGTATTATTAGGACACCACAAGTAAACTTTATGCTTAAGACACACTGGTAATTATATGTGGTTCTTGAAATAAAGGCCACTGCCTATCAAGTTCTACTTGGCTTTACACATCACCCTTTCTACTTCACCTCACTCACACCCTCCTCAACCCTCCACAACCCTCCATTCCCTGCACTCCAGCCACACTGGCCTTCATCCAATTTCTGAATACTCCACAATCCTTCCTGCCCTGAGACTCATTTATGTTATTTTCTTTGCCTAGAGCAATCTTCTTGTTTCATCATATCTCAGCTCAAACATTACTTCTTCAGGTAGAACCAGGTTTTTGGATACGTAACCTGCACAGTTCACAGAACCAACACTTAAAAGGGCCCCATGCTTGTAAAGTGTTCTGCTGTCCACCTAGGAAGTCTTAGTAATTTTTTTGAACAAGAGGTCTTAAATTTTCATCTTGCACTGGGCACTAAAAATTATGTAGCTGGTCCCATGCCCACAAAGTTTTCACTGACCTCCCTGAATGGTCCAAATACTCCCTTTACACAAACACATACACCACTTCATACCACTTATCTCAGTCAACATTTTTGCGATATGAGTGATGGTTTATCTCCACCACCAGAAAATAAGCACTGTGAATTCAGCTTTCATGTCTTGAGTTTTACTTACCATTTCATCCCCATAACCTAGCATTAGTAAATACTGACTGAATAAATGTTCATTTTTATTATTTTTCCCATTTAGGCTGGGAATGAAGAAGGGAAGAAAAAAATATTGCAAGGCAAAACATAAAAAGCAAAATAAACTTTAACCAGACAACTTTAATACTACAACCAACAATACAAGTTTAAAAATGTTGAACAGCTGTCTAAAAACAGTTGGAACTTAAGATCTCAATTTATTTAACTTCCTATTTTATTTTTTGGTCTAATTTCTTGATATTATATATGGCGCGCACACACACACACACACACACACACACACACACACACACATATATATACTCAGGAATTAGCAATCATTTAATTTCTAAATGTATTTGGGCCCGCAGGCGCAAATACTTTATTAATAGGGACACGAAATTTTTAAAAATGGTGAACCCTAGGTTAGAGTCATAGGATAAAGAAAACAGTACACTGGGGTGGTTTGTCATGCTAAAAGGGTCTTAACTATAAGGCTTAGGAGTGGTCCAACAATAATATCTAATGAAAACTATACATTTGCTTCAAAACACCAGTTTTAGGGTTAGAAATGCATTACCAATTTATAGATAATTTCTTCCTGTACTTCAAAGGATTGTCTTGTATACTATAGGGTACACAAACTCCATACTAATTTGGAGAATACTGATCTAATTAAATAACGATTTATTCAGAGTAAGGAACCAGTCATTATATACTCAACAACAAGGAAAAACACTCCTCTCTCCTGATAAAACTTATCTTTGTTGACCAAGGGAAAAACTGGGGGAAAAGAATACACAAGAATTAGTGAGGAGGGGCTAGGGATCCCTGAGGACCTACCTCCCTAACAAAAAGATCTTTTTATCAACCAGAGTATAACAAATTTCACACACACACTCAATATTTTCTCAACTTTGTGATTTTGCTGAAATTATCCCCCCAGAATACTCCTTTCCAGCCACATAACCAAATCCTACACCTTTTTAAGACCAAGTTTAAATGCCACTTCCGTCAAGAAGGTTTTTATAATGAATCTAATTTCTCCTTTATCTATACTAGTCCATAGCAGTTTGTACTTGTCTTATGCCATATATTATTTTCTACTCTATCATATTGTTGTTGATTTCTTATCTCTTTTTCTAGGAGGTAAATTCCTAGAATGTGAACATTTCTATACTCCTGAAGTTATTTATTAATATCTTTGCTTCTCAACTGCTCAAACTAAAGATGGGATTTAAATTATAATATATGCCAAAATGTGAAATCTGAATTAATCAACATTTAATGTTTTATCTAATCATCACTTAAAGCTAACATCTTTATTGCAAGAATTCCAAATTAAAATTTCCTACCTTTCAGAAATTAATTCATTTCGGATACAGAAAACTACCAATACTTTCTATGCCAAAACAGTAACTTACTCTAAGATACTATCAGTGACCTATATTAATTCACTCTTTAAAATCTTTTATCCAAGTAAGTAAATTCTTAAAATTTTCAAAGAAACTTTCTATATTCTTAAAAGTATTTATGTTAAGGAGACAAAGTAAAATTAAAAAGAGGGGACACATACTCTTTGACTTCTGAAAATCATAAGACAAAATAAATAACATATAAATTTTTGGAAATGCACACATGAAAAGGCAACACCCACAACCTAAAACACACATATTTCTCATTCCTTTTTTTTCCACATGAAAACATCTGCTTTATTTGAAAACAGTATCAGAAAAAAAAAGATTATATTCAAAAATATGGGCAGATTCCCCAACACTAGCAATTACAAAACTGGGACTATGACTTACAAATGTTGTTTATTCCGTGGTTTAAGTAATCTACAAGTAAGTACAAGTTGTTTTTATTACAAAAATAGGTCTAAATGTGTGCTAGTACAAATGCAAAGCAGTAAAAACTACATATTGATTTCAGGAAATACTGTCTCCTTCCTTTTAATTGTCTTTAGGCCTATTTTTTAAGCTTCAATAATAATACAATAAAGATGTTACTACTATATAATTTTTAGTAAAATAACTGCTAGTTAATAAATTTATATATGTATATCCCCCAGCATGTCTGAAAGACTATATATATATATATATATATTGCTTGCAATATACTCCTTTGTATCCAGTTAGAGGATAAGTCATTCTGATAGCAGATGATCAATCTATCCCATTCAATCCAGGGTATTCACAGTATGAAAGTGCTATGACCTAATATACAAGTCTAGATTCAAAGTCTATTTCTTGATGATCTAATCTAAGAGGATAAGAGAAGGGCCATGAAAAGAGGTGCCCTCTGTTGTTGGCTTTTTTTTAAGTTCTGCATTTTTAATGTACAACATGACTCCTCTGGCATATGAATGTAGGTGAAGACATAATTTGTAGAATAATAGGCACTAATATTACATGCTGCTTCAGTTCTGTCATTTTTCCAATCCATCAAATTGATTAATGCTATAATAACTCTACACAAACCTATCATTTGTGCACTAATGAAGTCAAACTCAGTTTATCCTTAGGCAACTAGATTCTAGAAGCTCATAGATGTCATCTCTTTAACCTAGCAAGACTATTTAGACATTGTTACATAAAAAGAATAAGAAACACGTGTAGCCTATCTCTAAATTTAGATGGCTTTCTGCCAAAGGTGTAAATGCAAATACTACTTTAATATAACAAAATGCTCAAAGAGCATTTGGCAGCTCTTAAACATGGACAAGTTACTGCGAGACACATAAGAAAAGGAAATAAATTTGCTAATTTCACATAGTTACTATACTGATGATCTTGGGGATATCAACACAGATAATAACTCTAAAACCCACCAAGTTTTAGGCAATTATAATATGAAGGCACCATTTAAAATACATTTTCAAGATGTTTAGGCTTAAAGTATCATATAGGACCATCAAAACTGGAATTTTAGGAACTATGTATTAGGTTTGACAATTCCACCTGCAAACTACAGTAGAAATCAAAGATAACATTATGTTACAGATAATAATAATCATGAAATGATTAAATAATAATGCTAAAACTACTGTTTCGAAGCTACTGAGAGGTTTAAAGATATTATACAGGATGCTTAAGAAAAAGTGACTTTTCCCACAAAAGGAGTTCTCCCATCACCTCAACAATAAGAGATCAGTTTGTGTCAGAAATTGGCTCATGTTGAAGATTGGAGAAGTGCAAGGTCATTTCCATAAACCTATAAAACAGGCAGGCAGTCTTATGTAGCACAGTGGTAAGGCAACTTAATATACTGCAAGTAAGTGCAGATTCAAAGACAAAAGACTACATTAGGTTAAAAAGGGGGGGGTGGGTTCCCTCAAGCAAGAAGGTGACAGTCTAAGACAGTCTAGAGAAGCGTAATTGAAAAGGATTCCTGCCTCTGAAAGAAGATTTTTCTGGAAGAAGATTTAGATTAGACCTATTCCCTTGGTTACAAGTTATTCTAAGTCCTTAAGAAAAAGAAATTTGTTGGCTGACATCAGAGGCCACTGTAAAGCCATTATTGCTG